ATGTTGATTCTAGATATGAGGTTAACCTAGCAAAAAGGCTTCCGTCAAATAATACGTAAAGGTCCTTGCCACATACTACTATACTCGGCTAGTAGGACGCGATGGCGTCGACAACGACGACCACGAGGACAATGAGGACGAGGACCGACAATGACCACGACTGCTGGTGCTACTACTCCGCCACTTCAATACTAAGACATGAGACAGTCTCAGAGTTCATCTGTGCCTGCTCGTCAGTCATGCCACCAGGGATTGTCACCTTGCTCAAACTCGCTCTGGCACTTGTCGGCAAGACCTCATTCCGCCTGCTGAACTTCCTGGACGACTTCCGGCTTCTTGCCCTAGCAGGGTCCAGCAGGGTCGGTTTCTTGAGAGAAAACATCAACTTTTAAACTTCTTTTAGCCCTCGACCGTCGACTGCTCCAGCGCGCGCTTCAACTCAGCGCTGAGGTCGGCAGCCTGCTCAAATGTTGCTCTGTTGGGAGGCACTTTTGAGGCACTTGGGCTCCTTTTTGCGCTCAACTTCCAGCTCTTTTTTCAAGAGCTCAATCTGCTCCTGAATGCCAGGAATGCCAGACTGTCTTGGATGCTACGGCTTAGAGGCTAAGCAGCGAGTTAGCCGTTTCACTGTTGCGAGGGTCTGCGCCCAGGCACGCAGCCGGTATCAAGTTTATCCGCAAAAAGGGGCACTTGCGAATGTACCCGCGTGGTTTAAACCCGGCACTTCGTAGACACATGTACTATCTCTTGATGAATGCATGCAAGACAAACCTATGGCATCTGAGCTAGGAGGCTTTCAGCCGGAAAGTTTATCTTTAGGATGGTCATGCCGTGCAGATAGCACAGCCATTCTTAACTCCTGGCTGAAAATCAACGTGCCGCCGCCGATGAGCTGTGGTGTGGCTCGAAGAGCTGCTCTTGGCGTGTGGGACACAGATCGACACCAAGCTACAAGAGACTTTGCAGCACCCCCAGGCAAAAGATGATGTGCCGCTTCTGTGGGTGGCATGACAACACAGCAACATATCAACATGTACAGCGCGTCCTGTGCTTTCTGGAGCATTTCTTCGAGCTCTTCCCGTTTGCGGCGTTCCTCCTGCGAAGCTACGAAGCTGGAAAGCAACGCTACTAAAAAAGGCCAATGTAAAAGAATGAAAAAACAGAACAAACTCATCATTTGTCGTTATTTCTTCTGGCCTCCAGCTCGGCACTGAGCCTGCGGAAGGCTTCGCCGTCCACCTGAGGTCACTCTGACAGTCTGACAGTGACACTCCGCTCCTCCTCTCCTTTCCTTTTGTCTCCAACTCTGTTCCTCTTGACTCTTGCTTTCTCCGAGTCCCCAAACCGTCGGCTTGCTTTCAGCTTTTACTGGCGCCTGCGATTCGCACGCGGGCAAAACACAGCCAGCTCACAGCAGGCTGAGATCCTTACAGGGCTCTTCTGCTTCTTCAAAGCTGCGATCTCTTTCTGCGCCTCTGGCAGGTGCAGGCGGGTCTTCTGATCCGTCAGATGGTCAGACTCTCAGACCTCCTTTAGCCTGTTCTCCAGGTCTTCGATTCGCTTTTTTGCCTGGAGCCATGAAAAGATTCTCAACAGATCCCCTCGGGCATACAAAACCATCTGAGATTCGTGCGGCTTGAAGCTCAGCATCTCAGCGAATGGCAAAGCTTTTGCGTTAAAGCTGTCAAGACTAGGAGCAAGTCACTTCCAAGGAGCTCAGCTGTTCAGATGCATCCCCTGAAGCAGAAGCTTGCTGAAGCTGCTTCTTCAATCTCAGTGGAGCGGAAGGCTTTCAAAGTCTTACACTCCAGTGCGAGTTTTTGGGCAAAAAGCTGCGCGATCATCTCCTCCAGCTTCACCCGCTGCTCTTCGCCTGGAGTTTCAACCATTGAGAGAAGGCTGCGCCTACTTGATCCGGGCTCCCAAACTCATTTTCAGTTGCTGCTTTAGCTTCAAGATCTCCTCCTGAGAATCATGAAGTCTGACAAAAAGAAAAAGCAGAGAATCGTGGCTCTTTCGGAGCGTTTGCATTTCTTCGCAGCTCTCCTCCGAGCCGTCGCTGCCTTTCTCGGCCAGGGAGTTCCGATACGCGTCCTTCACCTGCCGGTCAGCCGGTCAGCCGTGTGCACCTTTATGACCACTGCTGACCTCAACCTTTGTGCTCTGCGCCTCTTTGCGCAGCTGCTCTAAGGACTTCTCCATGGCCGCCATGCGTTGCGCGGCCTGGCTACTGACAAAAAAATCAGAGAGAGAGAGAGAGAGAGAGGGAGCGGATGTCTCTTCTTCTTCCCCGGATCTCTCATCTTTCTCTCATCTTTTCTCATCTTTTCTCCCGGATTCCACTCCTGCTCCGTGCCTCGGCAGCCTGGGCCTCGAGCTCCCGGCACCGGGCCTCCGCGGCCTCCTGGAGGGCCCGGGCCTTGCGGAGCGCTTCCTCGAGCTCCGAAACCTTCTTCCGCAGGCCCAGCACCAGCTCGCTCTCCTCCTCGTTCTTCTGAAACTCCTCCCAATGCTGCCAATGCTGTGCTGAGGTGCTTTTGCTTTGGCAAAGCCTGCGCTGGCGTCTGAGGCAGGCGCTGACAAATCAACCGCAGATCCCTTTGCATTTGCGATAGCGATTGCAAGCTTGATCCTTACAATCTCCTGCCAGCAGATGCCTGAACGCGTTCAGACATGGGCTAATCTGAGCACTGCTCCTTGAAGTATTCCCGCTTGTCATGGTCCGAAAACCTAGGACAAACAAACACCGGTGTAAGACGTGGCAGCAGAAGCAGAATCCAGGAAAATCTCTCTTCTCCCTTAGGGTCATACCAGAAGTCAGGCCACCAAAGTACCTTCTTGTAGGTGCGGTCTAGCCCAATCTCCAAGGCCACTCGAACCATGGCCTCACAACACGCGGCTCCCCCCGAAACAATTTCATGCAATTGTCAATGGGCCTCATTGCTGTGTTCCAGCAGAAGCCACACAGACTGAAAGTAAGAAAGGAAGGTGCATTCACCAAAGTCCAAAGCTTCCACAACTCCGCAACAGCTTTTCACCGTACCGCGCCTTTGCTACTTCCATGACGCGGTGCAGGTCAGTTACCTGGACACGTGTGCAGTTTGGACTTTCACTTTACTCTGCAACGATGAAGTGAATTCACAAAAAACAGCTTCTTGATCTCTTCTGTGTGGTGACTGGCTTCCTGCTGTTAGTGCTGGAACGTGAAAGTCCAAGCGCAAGCCAGCCCAAGACTCGAGTAATGCGGCAATGCATGGCAGCACCATGCGCAATGGATGCAACATGGTGCGGAGCAACGCCGAGCAGAAGGCCTGCTGATTCCAGAGAAGCTCATCAAGGGCCTTTGCAGCAAAATTTCCAGGGCGTTTTTCCATTGAGATCTTTGAGATCTGAGTCATTCTGAGTCTACATCCTCCTCTTCAAGGCCACCTTGCCCTGCAAGCCCTGCAGATTGCCGCTCCATCTCGGCCCTGAGACTGACACTGCTGTTTGCACTGCTGTTTGGACGTTTGGACACCCCTTATCACCGCACACATCTTGGCACAGCTTTTGGGCAACGGCTTGATGCGTTCGGCCGCATTCAAGCCCGACCTCGATTGAACACATTCAACACACCCAGCCAAGCCACGCAGCCACGCAGCTACGCAGCCAAGCAGCCAAGCAGCCAAGCAAGTTGCAGTGCGAGGGTGCAGAGCGCAGAGTGCAGAGCGATGCGGCGCAGAACGCGAGAAATGCAATGTGTACACAACTCGATCATCCATAAAATTAAGAAATGCATCTTTATGAAGTGTTAGTTAAAGTTTAAAGCGATTTGATCAGCTCCTCAGCTCCTCGCGGCCATGTCCGATTTGGGGCAGCTTCCCGCTCCCGCGCTGCCATGCTCTCCTGGCCATGCGCCCTTTGAGAGCACTGCAACCCTGGAGCTAACAGCCCCCCGAACGGCCTCTTCGCGCTTGCGCTGGCCCCTCTTGGGCCCCCTTAAGGGGCCTTCAGAAGCCGGGGCTGCCAGTGGCTTGGCTTCCCTGGAGCCTCTTCCACGAGCGGCGCGGGGAGGCGAGCGGATGCAAGTGTTCTCAGCATCATGCGTCCAACACCCTTCATTCAATGCATGCCTCTGCCCCAAAAGCTTGCCTTGCTTTGTCCCCTGTCGCGCAAGCACAATCCCCCAAGGACGAAGCTACAGCTTGTGAGGCTGAGTGTTCTGGGACAACGTGTTTGTGAGCACTCCAATCTGCTTAAGAGCACCTTCTTGAATGGCCGCACTGCTTCTTGACGCTGATTGGATTGTGGCTACTTCTTGCTGCTCATCACACGTGGCGTGTGACAGCCGTGACAGCTGGGAAGCAGCTGACCTTCCCACCCCTGTTTGGAGATGCCGAAGCCGTGCATCATCCTGTGCACACAACGCAGCGCACACATGTTGGACACTTGAGCAAAGACTTCCGTTCCTGGTTCAAGGCTTATGCCGCATTTGGGATCCATAGGCCCTTATCGCGTTCTTCTCTATGGCGTCAATGTCTCGTTCGTCATCGAGTGGAATCTGACAAAACTTTGTTCACCCGATTTTCCGTTCTCGAACATGCTGCACGACTCGCATTGCAACACATGTCGAGTCAAACTGCCATCCTACTTAGTAAGTGGAATACGCGGAGGTGCCGTTGTGTAGGCTTGCGAAGAAACAGGCCATGCGCAGCTCAAGAAGCTGTACCAAACCAGTGTCGAAAACAGGGGCAAAAACATAATATGTTGTGAAACTCGACCCAACCCAACCCCCCCACGTCCCAGAGCAAATGACCCGAATTCAGCACGGCCGCCCATTGGAGTGGGCAAGGACGACAGTGAGCTGGTTGAGCAGGCGACTTTGGATTTCCTGCACTGTGCAGGCCGCAGCCCGTTTGCTTCGAAGACTTGCAGACCTGGCACAAGAAGTCAGGTGCAAAGGCGGCCCTGAGCCGCCTGAGCCTCCCTCCGAGCACACCAACCTCTGAGAAAAGGGAGCAGCAAGAGAGAGGTGACATGGAGCAAACTGCGATGCCGCAGCATGCAAATCGGGTGCCAATGGCTGCGCGGGAGCTGGCAAACTTTGTGCGGACATCGCCTGCTTCCTGGCCCGCGATTTGCTACTGAACTTAGAATCCCAACCCTCGGCAAAAGGAGTTTAAACAGGGTTTGTAACCACGGTTTTGCGTCTCAAGCTACAGCCGACGGTAAAAAAACTAAACGGCCGAGGTCTTTGATTGTTGACTTCGAGCATCCCTACCCTAAAGTGCGATTGTCCAGCATTGGGGCTGTTGATTGATTTTGGCTTATCTTACTCAGCTAATCTCCCGGGACGTAAAAAAGGGTCCGGAATCATTTTTGGAATTCTTTTGTTTTATCGGGCGTTTTGTTGTTTCTATCCTCGAGGGCAAATGTGAGGACGCTCCACGCCAGAGCTCGATTTTGACTACAAAGGTGAGGCTGGATTTTGAACAGCGTCAAAAGTCACAGGGATTACGGGAGTCGGGGTCGCGATCCTCGTAGCTGTCGTCGCTTTTGGACCCTTGGATCTCTAAGCTTGACAAGCGTTAGAGGTTACAGACATTGAGGGGGTCGGGCTCACGATCCCTTATGGTATACAAAACCATGTCATCGCCTTGTGCGCTGAAAGGGGGTGGGTAGGGGAGGATTAAGCGGATCATATCGTGTGCAAACGGGGCCTGCGCCATCCAACTGCGCAAATGAACATCTCTCTAAATGCTGCCACTCGCAGTATCTACGTTCTTTGCCAAGCTCCAAATGCAGTAATTTTCAACATACATCGGCAAGCCCCAAGAAATTCAGCTCTCAAACAATCCACGAGGATCAGCGGGTGCAAAGGCGACGACTGTTACGAGGATGGCAAGCCCGACCCCCGCAATCCTTGTGATTGTCGATACTTTGCAAACTCTGAAGGATCTGAGGGTCCAAAACGACAGTTACGAGGATCGCGAGCGCGATCCCTGCAATTCCGTAATTGTAGTTGAGAAAACAGATGTTCCCAGGCCACTGTATGTAGATCAACGTGGAACAGTTTCACACGAATACGTTTACTCCGGATTTGGCTGAAGACGGCAAAGGCATAGCGTGTCTTACTGTGATTATCACTACACTTGATAATCCCCAAAATAACTGGCTAACAGCCTCAGCCTAGCTTGGTGTAGGTAGCGTAGAGCCTACAACGCCATAGCGCCTTCATATTTCTTCCCCACATAGGCTAGAGCCAGGCCTCTGGGTTGAGTAACTTCCTGCATTTATCCTGCATTCATCTGCATTCCATATTTGTGAATCTCTCTGCTTCGGCAACAGGCTAAGAGAGCGCTACATTGCAACCTCGTCATCTAGTGTATGCCAACTGTCTGCCAGTGGATTCGTGATTATCTTCTTGAATTGTTCTACGACATCAGGATTTGGGTACTTCCGCATTGGTTTCCGTGTTACCTTGAGCGCAGGCGACGCCAGGTACGGAATAAGGGTCAGGTGGGGTAGGTTAACGCGTAGGCCTCGATCTTCGTTTCGGAGAAGCGTCGCCGCTACCGTTGTACTCCACCGGATACCCAGCACTTGTGCACTTCACTTAACCTCCAAGCATACCCGATTCGGCACTTGCCAATGGGAACCCCTGAACATCCAACCCACCTTACGCAAAGGTCCGTTCACGACTCAAGGGTAGCTAGGGCTTGTGGTGGTTGGAAGACCCGGTTAAGTTTCTGGTTCGATTTCGGAAGTTCAGTCAATCTCACTGCTGCTGGGATTCTGGACTCAAGCATCCATCTTGCGCTGGTTGCACATTCATAGGTTGCCAGCCCATTCAACATACGCATTGCTCTGTGTGGCATTCTTGGATTCTAGCTCAGGCACTTCACACGCATCCAGCTAAGGCACTTAGCACCCCAAGGCCAATACGTCGGCATATTAGCTTTTTAACGCCAATAGGTCGGCAGAGGTTTGTAACGCCAAAAGGTCGGCATTAGGCGTAGATATGTAGGTTTAGGCCTCCCTATTGCTTCACCGCCGCGCTGCGCTATAGCCTTGGGTTATCCTACTGTGTGCTGAGCGCTGCCGACCAACTTGGCCTGCACGGTTTCGCCAAAGCCTTTGCTGTTGATCAGCAGGTGGCTCGAGTGGGGAAGGCGGCTAACAGCAAACGGAAAGCAATTCATTGTCAGCTTTTGGATCTGTGGTCGAGATTGCTCACCAACCTCAGCTTGACAGTCTTTGATTGCTTACCTGGACGCAGCCCTGCTTTGGCTGATAAATTCTTTCGCATCGAAACGCGACTGCGACAAATTGCGACCCCTGGATTCATTATTCATCGTACGCCCCTATTAGGACCTCCAGACGTCAAAGAGATCACTCATTCATCGAAGTCGACCCGCCTGCTCTTGATTTGGATCCAGAGTAAGTTGCCCCAGAGGGATCCGCTGCTGCGTCTTCTAGTGGTTCACTTGAGCGACGGTCGCGCAGCCCAGCACCTCGTGATCGGACTGTGCTAAGGGCTTTAGAGAGTTCTGGTAGGTTAAATTCTGGTAGACCACTTCCTCCCGAACCCCCAGTAGCTCCTCCTCCGAGCCGTGCACCACTGGTTGATCTGGTTGAGACAACAGACACAGAGGAGCCCAGACCAAGGCCACGTCAGAAAACTCGCCCTCAGCCTAAGGCTTCTTTTATTGTGCTGCGCCGCGTCGGCCGCTATCTGTGATCAAGTGCGTGGCTACCCCAGAGGACTTCGCTTCCGGTCTTAGGAGGGCGCTTGCTGATAGACCTGAGGGCGCAAAATCTTGTCATTGGAGTTTCGTAAGATTGCGGACCGAAGCTTCCAAGATACAGCTAGCATTTTTGAGCATTGCAATCGCAAGCCAAATACATTGCTGTGCATAACCAGCAAGCGCAGCACTCCAGAGTTGATTGACAACGCGATCAAGTTCATCCAGGACATTGCCCGGAGGACGGACTATTCTGTCAGGTCGATTCCTTGCTGGTTCATCCCGTCAACGCGTAAATCCTTCGAACTGTGGAGGGTGCTCGGCCTCGTACCTGAACTTCATCAAGCGGATCTTTAAAGCACTGCGACGAAGCTTTCATCGTGGGAGACTTCGAGCCCGAGAGAATCGCAGTTGGCGTGGAGATGCGTGGAGTCCAACTGTGCATCCGGCGAGCCGCAAAGGGGTTGCAGATCATCGCTCCTCCCGATCATCTCTTCGTGGGACTGAGTCCACGGCCTTGAAAATATCAGTGCGTGCATCCAGTGTTTCGGCACCTGCCAACGCTGTGACAAATTTGTAGCCCTTAAGCGCCTAAGGTTTTAGAGCTAGTATCCTGCCACCAAACATGTCATCAGAACAGGCTTCGCTCCAAATCACTTCGTCAAGTAGTGGGGTTATAGGGCGCTGCCAGCTAGAGCCTCCTCCCGTGAGTCCAGAGGTTCGCCCAGCAGTAACAGTTTTTTCCCAACATCACTTGTACGCAAGGGAGCCCATCTAAAGCAATCCTCAACATCCCACAAAGGCCCCAGAAAAATCGGGAAAGGGGGGTTCATAGCCCCCCATACCGTGTTATCAACTTGTCTTTCTTAATCATTATCAGGTTTGGTTGTCATCTTACTCATTAACTTTATGTAGTTTTAGGGCTGTCGTTTGAACTAGTCTCCTCCCCCATTATTTTATGGTATTTTATGTCATAAGCTTAGGTATAAGTTTGTTACCTTATTCTCTTTATGTCGGGGTCTAGGTATAATATTATGCCTAGGTGTCTCTGGTCACGTGAAACCAGCTCGCTTGTCTTAATGCATTCCATCAGTTCATTATTTCAGTTTGCTGAAGCCGTTGAATTCAACTTGTGCTTGAGCAACATACACCAGAGCGATTTACATCTCAAAAAGCTTGAAAACCCTTTCTTTGTCTTCCTGAGCTTGAAGCCGTGAACCGCGAAGAGCAGATTATGCTTGACGCAGCGATGGCAAAAGCGTTGGAGGAGGATGAAGCAATCATTGATGCCAATTGGGTTTCTTCAGGCGATGACGATGACGACATTGAGCAGTTGCTGAGAATGTGCGGCATCTCAAGAATACCTTGAATAAGAAAACTGCCACTTCAACTCAGCAGGCGCGGCAAGCAACAGTCGGACGCGAAACCTTCCCTGTGTTGGGGCGGCACGGTGCACCCACCCCCATCTACCACAGCTCCTTCCCGCTAGTGGCAGCTAGTGCTTTGCTGAGAGTGTGTTGGTTGGTGGCATCTCAAATGCTATTCTGAATATGAGAAATTTGAGTAGGCATGAACCGTAGAGCCCCCAAGAGGCCAAAGAAGCCAGCAAACAAGAAACAGAAAGGAAGAATCAAACAGCAAAAGGCTGAAAGCAGGGAGCGCAGGAAGCAGAGTGTAGTCAACAAGCAAGAGAAAACTAAAAGCAGCAGGGGGGGGAGAAAGCAGCAAGAAGCAGGAAGCGACAAGCACGAAGCAGAAAGCAACGAGTACGAAGCAAAAAGCAGGAAGCGAAAGCCAAACAACAAAATCAGGCAAAGAGGAAAAAGGCAGAATGCAGAAAGCAAAAAGCAGCAACCGGAACCGGAGAAAGAAACAGTAAGCAGAAACCAAGAGACTGGACCTTAAAAGCACAAATACAAATAATTACTCAAAAAACGGATTGCCATGAAACAATTGACATTTTGTATGGAACCTACACAGGTTCGCTTGCACAGGTTATTATAAGGCCTACGTAGGGTCCGCCTAGAGGGCATAGAAGGGCTATGTGGGGTCTCTTGCAAAGCTTCTCAGGCCTACATAGGAGCTGCTTACACTGGTTGTTAGAAGGAATATTTATCAGTGCCGGACTAAGTCTCTTGCATAGCGCAGCGACCATGGGGTCCCTTTCAAGGGCTTAGAAGGGCTCCAGCGTCCTTTACAGGCCTACAACGGTCCCTTGAACATGGGTTTACAATGGCTTTAAAGGCCTACATGCTCCAGGGTTGGGCACTGCAGGGGTACTTTGCCAGCACTGCAGGCATACGCGGCCGTTGGGCAGTACTCTGTGATCGAGCAGTGCAAGGAGTCTCTGCGATTGGACACCCGTAAAATCTAGCAAACCTACTTTGCAACCTATAACCTAAAAGATTGTAAAACCTTTTCAAATCCAGGGTGGAAGGAAACGGTGGGGCTGGAGACTTGGCTTCTGAAATTCTCGTTGCCAAAAAAACCTCCTGGAGGCGGCGATGTGCCGTGAAGGTTGCGAATCTTTTTTCTAGGGGGGAGTGGCCGCCGAGGATCCTGCTGGCGCTTGTAACTTGCCACAAGGCCTGAGCAAAGTTTCGCATGAGACTAATAGGAATCTTTGTAAGTGTAAAAAGGTTTTTGTTTTTTTTGTGTGAGCAACCATGTCATACCATCCCGCTTCAGGCTGCAAGGAGCCTCGAAGGCACTGCAGTATGTCAGAGTACATCTCTAGCATGCTGATGCGCAGGGGCACGAGGCCATCCGAATCCTTTAGCACTGCATTTTGCTGCACAGCACCAAACACCATACTTTCAAGTTGTTGCCCTCAACATCCTGCTACCTGTTCAGCTGCTCGCAGAGATTTCGGGCAGCACGGCAACACTGTTCAGGAACTTCCGTCGAGCATGGAAGATGGAGATGTTGGACTCACTTCTATCTGGCTGAGAAGGCAAACAAGCTAACTCAGTACTCGTGATTCTCACAAACACATTCAAGCACAAAGCTGGCAGCGCGCCTTCATCTGGCCTGTTTGATGCAAGTTTCGCAAGTCATGAGCCCGGGCCATGCCCTTGGAGGCCTGGATGAGAGGCCGGAGATTGGCAAAAAGGTCAAAGAGCTGAAGCTCCTGAATTATCAAACTTTTCAGCTCAGTGTGGATTCACTGGATTTACTTTTTAGGATCGTCTCCTCATCGCATCCTTGGCACAGCCGCTCGTCAGCCTTGCCACCAAGATTTCACGTATTCTCGAGCCGCGGCTGGGCTGCTGGGATGCTGAGCTGCGGGGCCTGCGAGAAGAGCATGGCACATTTTGCCTTGATGCCGTCCGGCAGCGACGTATCCTGCCAATCACAAGCGCAATCGCAAGCTGTGGAAGCGCTGTGGAAGCTGTTGCCATCGTACGGCTAGATTCCTCTGCAACAAGCTCCAGCAACTGCTCCATGACCTGGCGGTGTCTGACACTACACCACAGTCCGCCTACTCACATGCCGTAATCATGTAGTCAGCACCTGCAGCCCAGAGAAGCCATCCAAAAGGAAGTTCCGCACGGCTTGAAGGACCTCTCAAGCACACCGACACACGAAAATGTACCAAGCCTGCTGCTAGCCCGCGGCATCTGATTGTTAGCCATGAGATATGTTTTAGCTCCTACGTCGTGGCTACAGACTCAAAAAGTGCGAAGGACCTGTCAGATTGAATCATGGACGTGTACAAGCTGCAAGTCGCGTTCAAAGAACCGCGATGAAAACCGCCAACCGCGTTGCAAACACCCCAAAAAAACATCTATCTTAGAGACGGGTCTGTTACCCGTTGGGTAAGGGGCCAGTCGGGAACCCGGTGTCGGGAACCCGAAGGCGAGTCGGGAACCCGCAAGGGGCGAGTCGGGAACCGGTGGCAGCCACGCATCAAAAACTTCCGCTCCGTGCTACACAGAACCCAAGGACGACCGTGACGACCAACAGGGCCAACAAACCCAACACGACCGACACGACTAAAATGATCGACACGGCCAACACGACCGACCAACATTAACGACACGGCCAACACGACCGACACGACCAACACGACCGACACGACTGACACGACCAAAATGACCGACACGACCGACACGACCGACACAACCGACATAACCGACACGGCCAACGCGACCAATACGACCGACACGACCAACACAACCGACACGACCACAGGACCGACACGACCAACAGGACCGATGCGACCGACCAGCACGATCAACATGACCGACACGACCAACACGACTGACACGACCTCCGTATTGAATCTCTGGAATTCGCCAATACCTGATTATTTTCCAAGCTATCCACGGCCATGTGGGAGTTGGTCTGTCTAAATCAAGGTACCGTGGCTCTCCAAACAATTAACCCCTTCCGCCCGGGCTTCCGCCACCTTCCGCGCGCCAGAGTTCTTGCTAGGTTTTTAACATTCTTTTGAGTGCACATTTAAGCCACTGTCAACCTATTTGGATGTTTCAAATAATATATATATATTTTTATTTATATGCTCACCCCCCCCCCCATGATCTACCTTTTGGGGTGTTGGAGAGTCTCGTACAGGTCCTCATGACT